GGAACCTTTTAGGTACAGCGCAGAGTGCATCTCCCCCATCTCTGATCTACTCTACCCTTCCTGGCACTAGTTTAAAAAAAAAAAAGTCTGTTACTCTGGTTACTCAAAGTCAGGCAAGTGGTGCGTTATTCTTGGGCCTTTGGGCAGAAGACAGGGTTAAGTTAAGGAGAACATTAGCACAGCACACAGTACCGGGAAGTCGTTAATTGCTTGTATAGACCAACGTCGCCGGGCAGAGCGAGGAGACATCTGCGTGTGAAAACGTTATACCCAGGAGAAGGAAAGACAGACACCGAGAAAATTAAGAGAAAAAGAAAAGAATAAATAACTAAAAATGAAAGAGTGCCCTGAAAAGGATGGAGCAAGGGATATTGCTCCTCATAATTTGTTCCCCAATGGGACTTACCAGAAAATAATTTCCCCACTCCCCATCCCCACTCCCTCCATACATAACCTTATTAAAATCAGCCATTTGAAGTTAGCATGAGTTACTGCAGGGTGCCCTTCATTAGCTCCTGTGGAGAACCTTAGCATTCACAAGCATTAATTAAATTAAGCTTCCCATGTACAGTAGAGAAGGATTATAAAAACAGGCACAAAAATGAAACAACTTGCCCAAAGTTACAGAGAGTCAGTGGCAAAGCTGAGGATAGAACCAAGGTTTCCCAAACCCTAGTCCCATGCTCTCATCACAGTGTTTTCCTTTTTTGGTGCTTGAAGCAAGGTTCTGAGCCCTAGATTAATCAGGTGGCATTTATTTTAACTAATATCTGCTATGGCATCCACAACACTGAGCCAGATCTTGGGAGGCCTAAGTAAAGAACAAGCATGGATGCTGAGGGGGAGATTTTCCTATGTGCAATGCCCCAGTGATCCACCGGTCCATGCAGACAGAATGAGAAGGTTATTGGGAAGGTGGCCCACAGGATTTTCCAGAACAAAAAGGGGTGATGAATCCATTGCTGCAGAAAGCCCATGAAGTTCTTCCCCTGTTTGTACCATACCAAAGATGTGCACTGTTGAGTAGTAGTGCTGCTATTGGCCATCAGCCTCATTCTTTGCAGCACACTTCAAGTGAGGGAATCCAATGGCATGCCCTCCACTCAGCTGCTCAGTGTTGAACAATTGTCCTGTTTCCCAGGCCTCCTTCAGGTTTGTAGCATCTTGCAGTAAAAGCTTCAGTGATTTCAACTTGGTACAACTGTTTATTGCATTTTTATATTAAGATCCCAAATATTAGGGTATCATGAACAGGCTCAAAAGACTATTTTACTTTCAGTCAAACAAGTGATCCAATTAAATGAATTGCAACTGAATGTTTTGAGAAAAAAAAAAGAAGAACTGAAATTGTATGTTATCTGCTGTATGTGCTAAACTATTCAGTCCCCCTTGGAGACTACCAAATTCCCCAGCTTCTCAGTGTGGTCTTTCTTGGGCTCAGCAGGGCTGGTTTGTGGAAGGGAAATAAATTAGGAGTGCTGGGAAGAAACAGAGGAAAAGAATGGCTAGTATATTAGAAGTTTGTTGAAAGTGACCTGCATGAGGCTCTGCAATAACCTTCTAAGTGGGATGGTGGGGGGCCTATTTAATGCTGAAGTGGAAAAAGAGGTCCCCATACCAGTTCAGAAAGCCCAGACCTACCTCAGATACAACTGCTGCAGGTTCTAAGAGGTGGTGCAGCTGGAATGCAATAAGATTTATTTCCCCTCTACAGCTATAATTTGGCCTTCCTTTCTGCATTCAAGTTAGATCAGTGCCAAGTTCACTGACTTGTGCCATTTCAGTCAAAACAAAACCATGAAAAAGTGTTTAACAGCTTGTGTCCAGTAGCCTTAAAAGGTAAACTGAATACTTTCCAAATGCATACGTAAAGCATAGGGTTTTTTGAAGCAAAACCCCCCCCCCACAGATTTGGACTCAAAAGAATCACTTTAAGCTCTTCAAACACTCTTTCAGCATGTCTGCATAGCACTCAGGTGCCTTAGTCAGGACCAGGAGTCCATCATGGTGGGTGCTATCATGACAAGAAACAAACAACAGAAAGACAGAACACTGACTTTCCACTGACAAGATTATTTCTGGGACCCTACTGGCTAATGGGACTACCATTAGATACACAGCCTTCTTGTTCTTGACCATTATTCTCTAAAGCAGGATTGTCCAACTGGTGGCCCTTGGACTCCCCCCCACTGCTCTTCTGCTCCTGCCAAAGTTTCCAGGCTTCCCCTCCCTTCTTTTCCTCCAGCTTGCGCTTCATGCTCCTGCCCTGCAGCATGGCATGGTAATGTGGGGGAAAGAGGGGCCACACACCAGCTGTAGCGCCTGCCCCTCAGAAACTGGACAGCCCTGCTCTACAAAGTCATATTTATAGGGGTAATGTGGATTGGAGGGGTGTGTACATTAGTGCTCAGAACACATTTCCTTTTTTGAATTTCTAAAGGAGACCTCAGAAAAATCAGAGTGAGTGATTCCAGGAAATCCAGGAGTGACCAGGAATAATGGTCACAAGCTGGCAGAGGGTAGATTCAGACTAGACAATCAGGAGGCACTACTTCAGTCAGGGCAGCTATGATCTGGAACCAACTTCCAAGCAAAGGCTCCTACCTTGGGGGGGTCTTTAAGAGGAGGCTAGACGAGCACCTTGCTGGGGCCGTTTAACCCCAGTACTTTTTCCTGCTGTGGCAGGGGGTCGGACTTGATGATCTGCTCAGGTCCCTTCCGACCCTACCAGCTTTGAAACTATGAAACAGTGGTTCAGCTGCTCTTACAGTAACACTAACAAAAGCTATATCTGACCTGAAGTGAACAGATTTCTTTGTTTGCAATTTGGTAGAGTGTGCTGTGGTGAAGGCTGAAGAACAGATGAGTTTAAAAACACCTGGCTGATCTTTGGTAACACTCAATTTTGGGCTTAAGCTTGACATGTTTGTTTTCTACCAGAAGTGGATTTTATGACTGCATTAATTCAGAAAAATAAAGCTCCAGAACCAGGGGCTGACAGTATTCAAATTTTAACTTTAAAATCTTGGAAATTAAAATGACAAAAACATTAGTATTAATACAACATAAAGGAAGTCAGATCAGACTCTTAGAAGTCAGAAAACCTCTCACTATGCCACTGCTTCCTGGAGATACAGATAGTTTCTACTCTTTCAGCTGCAAAAACTTTGTGCTATTTGGATGGCAGGACCTCAACTTGCTATACTTTAGAGTAGAGTAACCAGACAAGAGAAGCCTCCAGGCTTAGATAAAGGAATAATGGAGTCCAAAAGACATGGTCCCATACACATGCTTTATTCTGTAGAGTCTGACCCCGCAACAAAACCTTGTCACCACTGATACATGCACTATGGGAGGCAAGTCAAATGAAACTGTACTAAGATGCTTACATTAATATTTTTAGACATGCCTGTCATCTTAAAGAGTTGTGCATCAGGGACAAGCACATGGCAGAGGACAGAAGTTGTTCTTTAAATAAACTCTTATGAAGACTGAATAGGCTGCAACACTAATATTGGGCAGCAACATTTTAGAGGTCATCAAAAGGAAATTTGGATGGAGTAAGAACAAAGATAACAACTCTGTAAGACAGAGTGTTGGGGTCTATATTCAGGAATAGCTCAAGATGTGAGCAGAAGTGACAGGTTTTATCAAGGCTCAGCATGTCTGACAAATCTGCTGACTGCCTTGTACCAGCTGAGCAGGAGACAGGACTGATGGGATAGTTACTGACATTCCCTTGATAAGGGAAAAATTGTTTAAACACAAAAACCAAAACAGACCCCAAAAAACCCACACACCATTAGTGATAACATCAGTTCCTCTGTAACTGCCCTGCAAGGACTAGGAGTTCAGGAGTCTAATTCCCCATACCAACGCTGAGGAAATCTCAGGCTCTAATGCAACATACAACAATGAGCTCTGGGCCCTGCTTTAGAAGGCTGGGAAGTCATCTGCTGCTGGAACCAAAACACCAGAGCTGAACCCAGGCTTTGGATAGTTTACAAAGAAATCCTGGAATTTTAAAGGCATTTGACAATGAGCCAGCACAGTTCTGAGCAGGTCAGTTCATCTTTAAAAAAGGCTGTAAGATAGGTAACATGTATAGTATACACAACAAACCCCTGTGTCCTCCACCAAAACACTGTTTTGGAACTATATGCAGCCTTAGTCAATCATAGCTATTTCTTTCAGCTTCCAGTACAGCAATATACAAAGAAGATTGGTTTGCTTTCCCTGCCCACTCTTAACTCACCCAGGAGGAAAAGAACTAAAAACTAAATATAACCCTATACCCAAAAGTCTTGCTAGATGAGGGCTAGGTGACTGCCATGTTAGCAGATGCTGCAGTTAAAATATAGGTACTTTGGCTGACAGCTCTTTGGGGTAGGGATTGTCTTATCATGGTTTAAACATAGTTGCACAAAAAAGGCTCCAAACCCTGATAGGGATATTTAGTTGCTGCTGCAACAGAAACATCAGCTAGAAACAGAGACATTTGACCTTGGAGAGTTCCTCCAGCAGCAGCTGAGGAAGGTCCAATTTGCACTTGAGTACATCATGGAAAGCTAATAAGCACATGCCACCCTATTACAGAAGACCTCATTCAGGAGGACTCTAGTGTTGCCTAGATTTGTATTTAGTCTGAAACTGAAGCCTTCACAAGAGCTATTGGTAACAGCTCTGTGCACTCCCTCCAACAGCAGTGTTTAACAGCACACGCACCTGCATTAGACTTATCTACTGAAATGAGAGTTGGAGTCATACACAAAAACTCTGATGGTAAGGTTAAAGGGACATGAAAATAACTGGGTCAAAACAGATGGGATACAGAGAAATAACTCAAACGCTAAACCAAGGGGGTGTTCCTTTAGAGTTGTTTATAAGGCCACAATTAAGAAGCTTCTCTATCATAAGCAATGATGCTAACAGGCTATGGAGAAGAAATGTGGGTTGTTCAAGGCAAGTTATTAAGAAAGGCATTTTGGTATGATATTTACCCTCTCCTTGTAGTAGAAAGAACTGATGGAGACCTGCTCTTTCTCGCTGCGAGTGGGACTCCCACTGTACAAACGCAGATTGCCTGGAGTCTCTGTACGAATCTTCATTGGTGTGATCAGCCCACTGTGATAGGCTGATAAAGCAGACAAAGATCTAGAAACAAGGAAACAAGCTTTTAAAAGCCTTACACACAGAAAAGCCCCACAGAATCAACGGATTGGAAGGGACCCAAGGGTCTAGTCCAATCCTCTGTTCCTAAACCATCCCAAATGATGCTTTTCCAGCCTCTGCTTGAAATTCTCCAATGAAGCAGATTCTACAACTTCCCTGGACACATTGCTCTACTAAACTACTATTCTTATCATCAAGAAGTTTTTCAGATTTCATCTAGATCCGCTTTGCTGCATTTTAAACCCACTGCTAAGTGTCTTGCCCTTTGTGGCAAGGAGACAGGTTGTTTCCTTTCTTATTTATGGCAGCTTTTCAAATATTTGAAAATGCTATCATGTCTCTTAACCTTCTTTTCTGCAAATTAAGCATGCCTTGCTCTCTCAGCCTACCCTCCTACAGCTTGCCTTTCAACTCCCTATTGTCTTCATTGATCACTTTTAGAAGATGATGAGCCCAGAACTGGATAAAGTACTCCAGCTAAGACTTAAGTAGTGCTGAGCAGAGTTGTACTATTGTCAGAAAAACCAGAAAGTGCCTTATTACTGCATTCAAGTCATTTTTTAAAAAAAAGTTAAAACAGCAGACCTCTGTGGAACCCCATTTGAGCCTTTCTGCTAGCCTCGCACATTAATGCATTTATACTTACTCTTTGCTTGAGGTTTTTCAACCAGTTATACACCTACCCAATAGTAATTCTAGTTAGCCAACATTTCTCCAGTTTACTTTTAAAACTATCATGTGGGATTGTATCAAGTCTTACTAAAAATCCAAGCATATCATGCCTATTCTATTTTCTTCACCCATTGAACTAGTTACCCTCTCAAAGTCGTCAATTCGTGTTGACTGCTAGTGAGCTCCAGGAATCCTGGTTTTCTCCGATAAAAAAAAAAATCCAACATTTGCTGGTTTAAATAATAAAAAACCCCAAACACCCCAAAATCCACATTTTTCCATGAACGCATATACACAAATACATACACGTGTGCATATATATCATGCACACACACACACACACACACACACACACACACACTATATAGTGGCATTTCATTTTAATCACCAAAGTGTGGATTTTGTTGTTTGTTTGTTTTTTAAAATCAGAAAAAGTTGGATATATAGTGGGCACGCATGTGTGTATTAAATATATATAGTGGACGTGTGTTTTTACATGTATTTACACACATACATACATGGTGCTGTTTTGTTTAAAAAAAAAAAAAATCACAGAAAAATTAGGGTTTTGGGGGGGTTTTTTGTTTTTAATATCAGAAAATGTTGCATTTTTTTTTTTATTAGAGAAACCCAGGATCCCTGGTAATGTCCCCTTCCTCCTCCAGGTGTATACAAATAGATTGTTTTATATTTGCTCCAATAACTTCCCAGGCATTGAAATCAAGCAAACTCATCTACTAATTCCCTGCTTCCTCTTTTTTATCCTCTTAAAGCTGGGCACTATGTTGGCTTGGCTCTAGTCTTCTGAGAACTCACCTGTCACCCATGACTTCGCAAATATTATTGCTAGTGGCATTAAGATTTCTTGAGTCAGTTCCTTTACCATCCTGCCATGAATTTTGTCAGGTCCTGCCACCTTGAATTCATTCATTCATTCATTCATTCTCAAAAAAATCTGATGTGCTGTTTAGTTATTATGATCAACAGCTCTTCTTTGTCTATACTAATTGTGTCTAGTCACAATATATTTTGTTGGAAAGTAGCTATTGAGTAGGCCTGCCCTCCTTGCATCATTCATTAACACAGAGGTGGGCAATTACACACAAAATCTTACAGAAGATATCATTTTAACAAATTATAGATAAAAAACAAACCACACACTAAAAAGCAAACATCTACTATAATACATTTTATTTGAAATAAAATGTTTGTCCAGATTCATGGGGGTTTTTTTAGTAGTGTATACAGAAGTTATTGCATAATAGCTCAAAATAAAGTCTTACTCATATATTGTGTGTGTGTTGGGAAGAGGGGGTGTGGAGGGCTGCCTACATGCTAGGTCCCAGGAGCTGGCCAGGGGTGGGGCGAGGAAGGGAGAGGGTGCATGCAGCAGAGCTTGTCTGGGCAGTGCAATGCAGGTGCAGTTCATTGCCCCCTCCCCTCTATCTGGCCTGCAGATGCTCCTGTGGTGCTCTGCATGAGACCAAGCCCTACCAGTTCCCACCTGTCCTCACACCCACTGATGTCATTGCCCCAGCCCATGCTCACAGGTGAATGCTCATTGCTTTGGGGAGGTGGAGTGGGTGGAAAGCAGCCAGGAGCTGAAGCCCTATGTGGTGGGGCAGGAGCTGCCAGCTACAGCTTCCCCTCTGCCTGGCTGGGCATGTGGTGCCTGGCATGTGTCCCCACGGCCACCCCTGCTTCCTTGCACTACCTGCTGCCTGGAGCAGCACAGCAGGGACAGGAGGAGCCACTAGAGGTAGGGGGAAGCTGAGTGGTGGGCAGCTACAGCAGCAGCGGGATCAGTCCTGCCAGGGAAGTGTAAGCACTGGCTAGGGCTTCAGCAGTGCTGTTGTCAAGTGTGGGTAGCACTTGGTCTCATGCAGAGTGATTATAATCAATTGACGGGCTGGATCTGACCTATGGGGCATATTTTACTCATCCTTGCATTAAATTGCTCATTGAACAGTGGACCCATGGTTTCCTTGGTCTTTCTTTCCTGCCTGACATATTTACAGAACCACTTTAGTGCCTTTAACATTCCTTGCCATTTGCATCTAATTTTTTGTCTGCTTTCCTAATTTAGTGGGTGCAAGTTCTTGCTATTTCTTGGTACACGTCTTAGCAACTTGCTCTTCTTTGCATTCACAGTATGTTTCTCTTCTGATATTGAAGCTGTTAAGAAGCATATTGTGTAACTACATCAGTTTTCTGCAGATCTCATCTTTACACTGTGTTGAATTAGCTTCTTGCTAAGTCTCCAATACTATGTTGTTTAGGAATTACCAGCCTTTCTGAACCTGTTTTATCCTTCAAGTTCTCTGTGCATGGGACATTGCCAACTTTTTGTCCAGTTGGTGGAAATATCTTTACCAAAATAAGGACAATGGATTTCAGTAATTCTCATGCCTTCCTACTTGCCAAATGGTTGGTCATGCTTTGGGGCTTGACAGCTAAACTAACCTGCCACTGCTCTTATCTTCAGAATATAAGAAAAGCTCAGAAGAAACAAGAAATCTGCTTCTCTGTGGTGCTTACAACTCAGGAGACTGAAGCACTAGGGTAAGAGACCTACTGAGGGTTCCTGGTCTGAGCTTAGCACCTAGCATCGTACCACCTGCTAATCCTTTAGCACTAAAGTAAGGGTGGTAGTGGTATTATTAGATAAGCTCAACTTCATTATTTTTCATGCTTACCTGGGAGTGGGCTCTGTTGGAGAAACTGCCCGGTGCATTGTCATGGGTCTTGTGAAATATACTAGGTAACCTGTAGGTGAGACAACACACAAATTATAATTCAGTGAAGACAGGATCTGACTGTGCATAATTTCAGCTGCTTTAAGGGGTAATTTTCAGAGTGAAACATGTAGATTTAAGGCACAAACCTTACAAGTATTGACAAGAGGTATATGGCTGGGTACCTGCCCATTATTTCAACCACACTGTCCCCTTATTGTCACTCAGCATTACCCAGCACCACCACCTAATGCCGTTTCCTCAAGATAAATCCACTTCTGTCAAATCCATACTTTCAAAACTGGCTCCAAGGTGTTGGGTTGGGAGAAAATCTTTGGGTACTTGCGAATTACAGCAGCTACCACAGACATAAGGGTAGTATAAATACAGACAGAGAAAATCTACTATGACTGTTCAGAGATTTTCAGCTCTTTAAGATAACAGCCAAAAACCACTTGAGACCTATTCCTAGCACCCTGCACATGACTGACTGAGAACTGATATATGCAAGCTGTATGAAAATGTAACATGGATAAGTCACAAGCTCAAAACCCCTTTGTTAGCACTCTTTAACAGTCTTCTGCAGCTCAGGGTGACATGTCAGTGTGCAGGGCAGGGGTGGGCAAAAATGTGACTTGCAGGCCGGATTCAGCCCGTGAGGCCATTCTATTGATTGGCATACATCTGGACTGATGTCATACATCTTGACTTCAAAAAAGCCTTCGATCTGGTATCCCATGATCACCTCTTGGCAAAACTGGCCAGTTGTGGCCTTGGATCCACCATGATCCGCTGGCTGGGAAATTGGCTCTGTGGTCAGTACCAGAGGGTAGCAATTGATGGAAGTCAATAGTCATGGTGCCCTGTGACCAGTGGGGCCCCCCAAGGCTCTGTCCTTGGACCCATATTGTTCAACATCTTCACTAATGATGTGGACATTGGAGTCAGAAGCAGACTGGCCAAGTTTGCCGACAACACCAAACTCTGGGGGCAAAGCATCCACACCTGGAGACAGGCAGGCAATCCAGGCTGACCTGGACAGGCTCATCAAATGGGCGGATGAGAACCTGATAGTGTTTAACACTGAAAAATGCAAGGTTCTCCACCTTGGGAGGCATAACCTGCAGCACCCTTATAGGCTCGGCAGTGCTACACTGGCTAGCACTATGGAAGAAAGACTTGGGGGTCATGATTGACCACAAGATGAACATGAGCCTGCAATGTGATGCTGCAGCTAGAAAAGCAAGCAAAATGCTGGCTTGCATCCATAGATGCTTCTCAAGCAAATCCCAGGATGTCATTTCCCCCTTGTACTCAGCCTTGGTGAGGCCGTAGGTGGAGTACTGCATCCAGTTTTGGGCTCCACAGTTCAAAAAGAATGTGGAGAAGCTTGAGAGAGTCCAGAGAAGAGCCACGCG